TAAAATTACAAAAGTAATATTTTAAATTAAGATACTTTTTCTAATTTTTTTAAATTTATTAAATTTTTTCCATTTCTTAGTGACACTACATTAGACATAAAAGTTGTATGAAATACTTATTTAAGTTTACACAACAACACATAGCAACATATTATTTATATATACACACATATGTATGTATGTATATATATATCCGCATATCTGCTATTTACCCATCTTCATTTGCTTATCGCCGCAAAGGGCAAGATAAATCTACAGTCCCCTTTAAATGCGAGGAATAAACATGCTAATTGGTATGCGCACCTGTTTGTATAAGAAAAATATTTACACATACCAACAAAAAAATATGCCACATACGCACATCCAACGTACATGCATGCGCGTGTACTTCGAAAATGTCGCCTAAAGCGGTTATTGAACTCAATTTTACTGTTATTCGTAATATTACTTGCGCACAATTACCCGATTAACACTTAAGTACTATGTGAATACACTTGCGTGCTTGTGTGTCTGTGCGTGTTATCGGCGCCGCTGATCGATTTTCGAGCAGCCAATTTCACTACAGATCACTGGCCCTAAGCGCTGACCGATAGTTATGGGCCACACGTAGCCACATACAGTGCGTAAGGCATGCTAATTCGTGCCGCACTTCAAAACAAAAACAAAAATCTCGACTTGTGTTGGTGTGTGAGTATATGTTTGTTACTTTTGGCCAAAAACGACAAAGTGAAATGATTGAAGACGTCGCTGTCCATCAATCGAACGTGTGGATTACACTCGAGGCAGGCACTTGTCGTAGTAAACATGTATATATATGTATATACTATATAAAGCTATGTATGTACGATATGCATAACTGTACCAGTAATGTATTGCTAATTGTATGCAATATACATAATGGTAAGTGTTATACCTAGGGCTAACATGTAGCTTAATTAAATCCGTCAACTAAATGACTATTATGATGTCCATATTTGCCCGGTAACCACTTTAGCTTAGTAAAATTAAAACATATTTATGTATATATGTATGTATATGTTCATTAGGCTGTTTAAATAATTTTTTTTATGCTGCACCAGGAGTATCAAGTTTGCCACGAAGTTTGTAGTACCCAGAAGAAAGCGTCGGAGGCTTTATAAAACATATATGTGACCTGGTCTACGAAAAGGGAGCTAACGTGCGAAAACTAGTTTTCTGGGAAACAGCTGTTAAAAAAAAGCATCTCATCTTCCATCCGAATCAACTAAAAAGTGAACATTGATTTTTTGACACCTAAGCCCCCTTTGCGTAGATCAGGTCACATATATAAATGATCAGCGGGACCAGCTGTGTAGATTTAGCCATGTTCCTCTGAATGTTTATACGCAAACTAGTCCCTCATTTTTCGAGATATCGCTCTGAAATTTGGCACACAGCCTCTACTCCTCAAGCGGCTACTTATTTAATGGAATCGCACCACTATAGCATATAGCTGTCATACAAACTGACCAATTCATATCAAGCCTCTGTATGTAAAACTCTTTTAGTTTGCAAGATATCTGCACAAAATTCAACACAGATGTTTGGCCAAGATTATGCAACAGTTTCCGAAAATATTAATCAGGTCGAGTAACTATAATACGTAGCTGCCATACAAACTGAACGATCTAAATTAAGTCTTTGTAAGGAAAACTTGTTTGATTTGCGAGATATCGTCCTGAAATTTGGTACGTATTATTACTTAAGATAAGAAAATAATCTCAGCAGAAATCGTTTAGATCGGATCACTGTAACATATAGCTGCCATATAAACTGACGGATCTAGCTGTAGTTCTTGTATGAATAACTTTTTTATATGACAAGATATCTGCACGAAACTCAGCACGGATTATTAGCCAAGTTCACGTTGTAATAACCGAATGATTTGTTTAGACTAGACTAAGTGATATAGCATATAATTACCATATAAATTGAACCAACCAAATAAAGTCCATACTTCAGACATTTTTTTATTTGACAAAATATCTTCACAAAATGTGTCACAAATTTTGTTTTATGTATTTTTATAAACACCCTAATATACATATTTACATGTACAACATTATATGGCGTTAGAAAGTGCGCTGCTTGTCATCTAAATGGCGCGGAAATATTTAACAATAATAACCACCAGCATATTAAAGTGCAATAAGGTAACATTTAAAACACTTTCGAGTGATTATATTTACAACAAACGTCACTTTAAGTGCTGAAGAAAGTATATTTGCATATATGTGCCATAAGGAAGTTAAAAATTTAACAATTATTGTGGTTTCCTCGACTCGGCTGACTAGTTTGTGACAGCTTTGACAACCATCAACATACGTTGAAATGTAGAAGAAGTCAGGTAAACTCAAATTATGCCTCAGCTATCACGTGATCTGTCAATAGTAATTGAAAAAGTAACAATAATTGTAGTTTTTATGAAAAAATTCTGAGATTTTATATACTTCTTTCAAAAATCAACAATTTTCTCGTTTTTTTTTTTGGGTTGGCAAACATTTTTCATTTAAACATCTTTTTTGCCCCCAATACAAGCCTGTAAATGCCTGATGTTTTGCTCCAAGGCCTGAATCGAAGCCTTAAGACTTTACATATCTCCATAGTAACCTAAAGTGTAATACCTCACGAACTCATGATAAAATTATCTTCTCACCGAAGTATTCTTTCACTAAATTCATTGATCGATGCGATGTGCCTGAAGTGGCGCCGTCTTGTTGAAACCAAATGTCGCTGAGATCACGAGCTTCAATTTCAGGCATCAAATAATTGGTTATCATCGTGCCATAATGGTCGCATTGACAGTTACGTTCTCACCGACCACATTTTTGAAGAAATATGGATAGATGATTGCACTGGCTAACAAACCACACTAACCCATTGAGCTATTGCTGTCACAATTATTCTCAGAAGATTGTTAACACTTTCAGAGCGACGATCCATTTACATTACCTGCTTGTTTATATACATCTATCATCTAAATTTAAACAAAGATCTCTAGCATGCAATAATTTTTCTGGCTTAGCCAATGAGAAGCATGGCATTATATGAAAATGCCTAATTATGCCGTTTTTCAATAATTTTATACACTAACGAGCAGCCGCTTGCCATGTAAAGCAGAGAAAGCTGCAGATTATCTCATTTTCTAGCATG